TTTGCCTAAACAAAACCCCCTAAAATTATTTTATTTATATGTTAACTTTTGCCCCCTTATCACGTAATTTTTTGCCTGCCCTTGCAAACCGCCATCAACACATACAATATAGAACTGTAGACTATAGAAACATTTTTATAAAATACGCAAATTTAATATTTTACACCAATAGATTTTTCTCAATAAAGTCTCCTTGAATTGAATTTAACTTTTAATGGTATTAATAATCGAACACTTTACAAATTGCTGTTTTGCCTTGCTGTTCTAACCTCACTTTTTAAAACGTCTTACAAATTACTTGAAATACACGAAGTTTAAAAGGTCTCTGTCTCTATATCCCTGTGTCTACTTGTATTTAAATCTTAATTTTTAATCGCGAGCTTGATAAATTGCTGTTAAAAGATATTAAATTAAAACTATACACAATTTTATAAATAATCAGCCCACTGTGCGCTGCGCGCTCTAGCGGCCGACCGCGAACCTGTTTAGGAATGTGTGGCTGGAGATGTGTGGATAACTTATGTTCTGTGTGGATAACTTCACACAAACTGAAAAATTGCAGATTCGCATTTCCCAGTGTTTACGAGAATTGTTAGGGAATAAAATAAATTAATTAATTCCTTTTGATGTTGGTACAAATTAAAAATATTTATACCTTACTAATGCGTCTATGTATGTATAAAAACATATTTATACCTTACTTATAAGTATAAATGCGTACGTACGAGTGAGAAATGAATGCTGCAACCGTAGAAGAAAAAATTAAAATGATTCTGATTTTCGGAGAATGTAGGCGAAATATTGACGATGCTGTTGCCTTATATGCTGAGCGTTTTCCAGATAATATTCGTTCACGCTCGTTTTTTTATAAAGTTGTTCAATCCTTTAAATCTGACGGTAGTGTACAACTTAAAAAAAGAAAACAAAGAAACACTGTCACAGGAGAAGCTAATGAAATTAATGTGATAGCAGCTGTTCACTATAACCCTCATGTAAGCACTCGGGAAATACATCGGGATCTCGGGATTTCCAGAGATATATCTATTCGGAGAATATTGAATCGTCACAAGTATCACCCATACCGAGTTTCACTGCATCAGGAACTTCATGGCAATGATTTTCATCGGCGAGTAGAATTTTGTGAATGGGCAGTTCAGCAAATACAAAGAAATCCCAATTTCTTGGCTAATATACTATTTTCAGATGAGTTCACATTCACAAACCATGGTTGCGTTAATCGGCATAACATGCACTATTGGAGTGTGGACAATCCCCACTGGTTACGACAAGTTGAACATCAACGTCCCTGGTCGGTTAACGTTTGGTGTGGAATTTTAGGTAACAAACTCATTGGTCCTTATTTCATTGATGGAACCTTACATGGAATCAAATATCGAAATTTCCTGTAACATGAACTACCACCTCTACTTGAGAATATTGCCCAGCCCATTCGACAAATTATGTGGTTTCAGCATGACGGTTGCCCAGTCCATTACTCAGCAACAGCACGGGAAGTATTGAACCGTGATTTCAATGGCCGATGGATCGGCAGAGGTGGCCCGGTTAATTGGCCTGCTAGGTCACCTGATTTGACATCGCCGGATTTTTTTCTGTGGGGTCATCTAAAAGATAAGGTTTTTCAACAAGCACCAACAACTTGGGAAAACATGATACAGCGCATAAGAAACGCTTGTGTTGAAATTCCCGCAGATATGCTCCTCTCCTGTGTACAATCATTCGAAAAAAGAATAAATAAGTGTCTAGAAGTTCAAGGTCACAATTTCGAACATTTAATCTAATTTATTAAACAGTGAGAGGCAGGGGGACTCTCTTAAAACTTGGGTAACGTTAAAAATAGATGTTAACTTATTGATATACGAATACAATCCAAAAATTAATTAAGTGTTTTTTCTTTTTTCGATCCGATTTGTAATTTTTCAAGATATTCCCAAAAATAGGGTTTCTTGCGATTACAGCGTCATCTATCAGGAATTTAAAAAAAGGTTTTCCATAAAAGTTATTTATTTTTTAATGGGAAATCCGAATCTGCAATAAAAAATGGGCGTTCCTATTTAGAATTTTAAAGTCGACTTTGATATCATTGGATGGCCCCCTTCCAGGCGAACCAATTTTATTCAAAACTTTTTTTGATCCGTTGCGTAGTTTTCGAAATATTTCAATGTCTTCAGATAAATCGGCCACCCTTTATTTAAATATATATATAAAAGGGGCGCACCAAAGAATGCTGCACGTGGGCGCCAGACACCCCAGGAACGGGCCTGTCCTAGCCTATATCTACACAACATTTGAGAAAAATCTGAGTCGGTGTTGTGAAAAACAATGTTGATCTGACGTGGACTGACTATTTAGTATATTGACATACCTCAAATTTCACTTAAAAATTAAATATTTTAAAAAAGTAGTTGACGTTTCTTGTTCCGATTATAATCGGAACAGGAAACGTCAACTACTTTTTTAAAATATTTAATTTTTAAGCAAAATTTGAAATAATTATAGGTAATAAAATAAAAATTTGGAAAAAGGTTTTTATTTTTAAAATAATTTATTTTGATGAACAACTGATGCAATCAAATTTAGTTTTAAGGGTCCATTGTTCAAAAAGTTCATATTTATCATTAAAATTGTTTTCAGAAATGTGGTTTGAATCAACTCTCGTGCTAGAGTGGGAGTGCAAGCTTGCTTTGTGTATTTCATAGTATTCATTTTCCGTAGATGCTAAAGACATATACCTACTTACCACACTGCAGTGCACTGTGTGGTCCACACAGTGGTAAGTATATGGCTAAAGAAGGTGCAAGCTTTCGTGCTGGGCTGGCTTGGATTTCAATATGGCGGCAGACAAACAGCTGATTGCAGAATTAAAAACAATCCTAACCTCGAATATTTTAAACAGCTGATTGCAGAAGTGTAAACAATCCTAACCAACAATATTTTAATAAACTACCATTGAATATTGTTTGTATGGTATTTATTAAATACTATTTAGAAATTAATAATTACAGAATAACGTAAGTATTGTTTATTATGGCAAGTCGTTATATATAATAAATATCTTTTAATGGTACCAAAAAGTTCATGGAAATACCTGAATGGTGAGTAAATACAAGACAGCAAATTTTTGTTTGGCAGTAAAACTTATTTGTGAAGTGATTTTTAATTCAGTTAATTTTTATCTGAACATTTTTGTGTTTTTTTTTTGCCATTAAATTCGATATTGATAGTTTTAAATTTTGTATTGTACAAATACTACTAATACCTATAGAAAAAAGTTCGTAAATAAACATTTCTCATGTATTTAACCATTCATTTTTGTTAAGAAATAAGATCATCTTGATTTTTAAGACTGAAGTTGTTATTTCATAAAAAAACATAGGATGTCATAGTTTATTTAAAGTGCATATAGGTGTTATGGATATAATATACCTAATATGACATTTAGAAAGAGTTCAATAGGGTTTTCGCTACACATATTAACAAATAAACTACTTACACCAAAAAACAAACGTAAATATAATTTACTTAACCCCAAATTTTGACATTGTTATGCTGGAGTGCGAGTATCAGTAGAAAATGGCCACTCTACGTGTGCTATTGGATAATATTGGAATATAACTAAATTACAAATAAGCAATGTAGCAACAACCCAGTAAGCACCAAACACTCGGCAAACAGTCGGCCTTCGCTCGGCATTGGTGGTTGACCGGCGGTTCGGCTTGCCCCAGCCGGCCCGCTTATGTTACCCCGGTACCGTTTAGCCATGTTCTAACCGGATTCGGCCAGAATACCATGCCGCTGCAAAATCCTTTGGCTTGCCCTAGCCGGCCCGCTTACGGCTGGAATACGGCCTGCCGCGGCAAAAGCGATACATCTCACGGCTGCTTACGCACGCGAGCTAACTATAAATAGCGATTGGTTGCAATATTTAGTTGAAAGTGTGCGTCCGTAATGGCATAGCTGAACAATAATTGTTTGAAGTCCCCATCTCCATCCTCATCTGCTCAGTAATGAATAATGTCTAGCTAGTCGAGTGTTTTAAAGAAGTATCTTGCCATTCAGAGAATTTCAGGACTGAACTTATAGGATATACCTACCTCTCCAGGACGTCTGTAGGCTTCTTTTGAATGGCCAGGCACACTCGGCCGAGTAAACATAGCAAAAATTCGGCCTATCGGATATGCCCGACAGTTGTCCAGGCGGACATGCCCTATACGCCGGAAGAAATACGTGTGATGGGCCGCACGCGGCCGATTTGGCAAAACCTATTCGGGCCGTATGCGGGCCGGCTAGCTTGTGCTTACTTGGAAGGTAATATTGTGAAATTATTGTAATATAACAAAATTACCAATAAGCAATATAATAAAAACGTAACCTTGCGATACTATTGTAATATAACTAAATTACAAATAAGCAATGTAACAACAAGGTAACATTGTGAAACTATTGTAATATAATAAAATTAATCATAAGCAATGTATACAACAACTTAACATTCTGATACTATTGTAATAGTTATAACCAAATTACCATACTTTACATAATGACCGTTCGATATATTTAATTTAACAATATTGCATTTGAGCAACGTTATCGCGTTATGTAACAAATCTTTCGTTTTGTTACATTACAACGATATCTCTGCAATATAACGTCAAAATTCCAGAAATAAGTAGCAGTTTTATTTATTTGTTTAATAACTGTTATGTTAATTAGATGATATATGATTAACCTAACATAATTACACTGACGTTACCAAATTGTTACCTTGCAGTCAGCATTGTTACATTAAGAAAGTTTGTTGTATAAAATAAATATGTTTTATATATATTTATTTATATTTAAATCTAACTGCTGTAATCTTTGTAAATGTAACAATAAAGTTTGCATGCAAACTTTATTGTTACATTTACAAAGCACAGGGTAAAAATGTTTTATAACTTTATTTTAAGGCGAGCGTTTTGGGTTAAAATAAATAAATTTACCTTTTCCTAAAGTCATAACAGATTGGTTACTTGGTCGAACATTAAATTCGGATTCTATAAAGGCTTTTATTTCCACTATGTACTTTGTATAAGGTTTCCCATCTTGAAAATACCAAAATTGTTCAAAAGTGTAAAAGGTGTGGTTTCGTTTTAATATTTCTTCACAATACACAGGCCTATCTTCTTTGGTTATTTTGATATCAACTTTATATTTAGTAAGATTATTCACGTACCAATCAGGTTTGTCCCATGATATGTTAAACCCTTCACTCGTTATGTCTGTTATTTTTAGATTTTTGGGCTGGGAAAGCGCTACAAATTATTTATATTATTGCATTATACTTTATAAATAAATTTATCAGATTGTAAAAAATATACCCGTAGTTTTTTAAAACATATGTTAATATTAATAGCGTGAAAAAATTGTGTTGAAAAATACTCAAAAATTTTGTAATAATTATATGAGTATTATCAAAATACGTATGCTAACGATTAGAGGCCGTTTACATATCGTCCTCTTAATACTACAACTGGGTAACTCAAAATTTATCTATATAGATATCTATTATTATTTACAATCAAAATTTTGTCTGTTCTTACAAATTTAATGTAGCATATAATGTAGTATATATGTACGGCCCCTTATCGTTAGCATACGTATTTTGATAATTAATTATATTATGTTGTATTTTATTTAAAAAATCATTTTTTATGTAAATGTATAACATACCAAATGGAATTTTCACTGTTATAGGACTAACTGTACAGTTTCCTGCCCTTACTTCTACTTTATAGTTACGACCTGGTTTGAATTGATTATATATAAAAGAACATTTCTTTATGCACTTCGTAGAATTTTTTGTTGGATCATCTCTCGAATTTATATCTTTTATAGAAATATTATAAGAAATGGAATCATTTCCATCGTGTTTAAATGGGTGCCATGTTATTTCTCTACCACTTTCACTTATTAATTTACTGTTTACGTCATTTGGACAAATATTTTCTAAAAATATATCCTTATTAAATATGCTATTAAACATTATAATTTTAAATTATCTTACCGTCTTTTGGCCTTTTAGTAGTGGAGATAACGTAGGAAGAAGTAGTGCCTAAAATATTTGCATGGATTAGAGTTTATGAAATGACTTTTAAATGGGGTATTATCATAGGGTTAAGTATTTTTTATTAGTAGTTGTCTTAAAGTATTAATTAAATAAGGCGAGAACAATGTACACTCACAGGAAAAATAATCGATCCACACAAATATTCGATGAATTTCAATCGCAAATTACTTATTAATTATCAGATTTAAACGAATTTTGAATAATATTCTAGATAAATTAATAAAAAATTGTTTACATTTTAAAAATTTACTAAGTTTAAGAGTGTAAACAGTGTATTGTTCTAAATTAAGTTTTAATTATCTAGTCACATCTGTTCTTAATTTTTTGGTTCACCTCGATATCTTAGCAAAATTTAGTCACGATGCGCGCACTGTGAGTGCATTCGTGCTTCTTTAAACGGTACGCGTGCGCCCAGTTCACTATACAGATGCGATTACATATGCGTCTCATATGCAGCGCACTTGTGCCGGCGCATTTAAAGCGCACGTGTACTGACGCATTTGCAATAACAACGGGTTTAATGCAAAATGGCACCAGCGCCAAATTTTTCGAAAAATTGTTAGAAGTACAGGTTGATAAATTAAATTCTCTAGCTCTAGCTTTTAAAATTTTGGCGCTTGTGCCGTTTTACCTTAAACCCGTCGATATATACTAGGGGTGTCAATCCCGAGCCCATTTTCCAATCCCGGGCCTTTCGGGACCAAAGGTAACTAATCCCGGGATCCCGGGATCAGTCCCGAAAAAAAATATGTCATTAATTTTAAAACCAATTTAAAATAAAACAACAAACAAACTAACGAACGATATCTTTCGGACCACACTATAGTACCATATATGGTACCCATAATCTCGATCTATAACACTATGGTACAAATAATCTTGATTTATAGCCATAGAAAAAGTATCACACTAGTTATTTATTCGCGAGAGATGAACACCTTTGACGAAGTACTGTGGACGCAACGCGTGGACTGATACTGAAGGACACTCATTGTTGCAAGAACTATCAAATTACCGAGTGATTTCCGACAAATGCTTTGTTCTTGAAATAAAGTTATTAAAAAGGATTTAGCCAAAAGAATCAAGAGTTTGCCTTAAATGCATCACCTATTTTAGTCAAATGCCAAAGAATTTGCAAAAAGTTAACTTTCTTTAAACTAAAAGAATAATTTTCAAATGAATGGATTCTTTTGCCTAAAATAATCCATGTTTATCAGTGTAGTTTGGCACAAAACCGTGGGATTTCTAGCAATAACATTAAATTTTGACAGAAAGACATGAATTGAAGATTTCTTTTGTCTAAATGCCTTTACTTTGCCTTAAAGTAATTAAATGTCAAAAGAATCGAGAATTACACCTAAATGCAGCAATTATCTTATCCGAAGGGAAACGGATTTAAAATAAATACAGTTTCTTTGAATTAAATCAATATTTTTCAAATGAATGGATTCTTTTGCCACAAGGATACCATTTTTATCAGTGTGGTTTTCAAGAATTCGTAGGCACATTGTACCCACGTTTAGCCCCATTAACAAATAATTCCATTTCTTTTAATCATTTGGGCCTTGGTGAGTTCCAATTGGGGCTGTAACTTACATTGAAATTATCAAGTTTGTGACATTTTTTCAGGTTTGAGGTTTGAAATATGTTATACCTATTATAGGTTATGTACATAAATTTATTCTACAGTGACCTGTAATTTTACATTTTCTTTGCTGATTTTATGCTATAGATGGAACCACTCTTGCTATGATATTTCAATGTATTTTCATTATTGTACGGCGGTGTATAATAATTTGACTTGAACTGAGTAAAAAATGAATTGCTTATATATATATATGCTCATGAGTATTATAATATAAAAAGTGTCATACGCTTAAAAAAAGTCTATTTTATTCTTTGTAACTTATTACTAAGATCCCGGGATTGGGACTTTTAATCCCGGGATTTTCGGGATCGGATTTTTTACGGGACACCCCTAATATATACATATATATATATATATTCTGTTTTAGGTTTCTACGGGAGTTAAATTTGTGGTTTTCTGGGATCTGCTCCGGGTTGTCGGTTTTTGGTTCTTAAAATAACAGTATGTATGATGACGTTTCGTTGTCAGACATACGGTTCTTCTAAGAACCAAAAACCAAAAACCGACAACACGTAGCAGATCCCGGAAAACCACCAATACATATATACCTATACGAGGTGTGTTCAGAAAACAACGGGAATTTTCGTTTTTTGAAAAAAATATTTATTTATTTGTCTACATTAATGTTGTCGCCTTTAAAATAGTCCCCATTAGATATAATAATAAACTTTATTGCGTAATATACATAATATACAAAACACACTGAGCTTACACCCATTGTGTTTTGTTTATTTTGTATATTATGTATATTACCCAATAAAGTTTATTATTATAATTATATTATGCACTTGTGCCAGCGCTTCTTCCAATCCTCGAAACACTTCTCAAACTCAATCTTTAGGATAGCCTTTAGTTCTTTCAGCGATGCGCTTTTAATGTCATCTATGCTTGCCAAACGACGGCCCTTTAAGGTTCTCTTAATTTTTGGAAATAGATAAAGTCACAAGGAGCCATGTCTGGCGAATATGGAGGCTGGGGCATCATTACAGTATTCTTTTTGGCCAAAAATTCACGAACAAGCAATGAAGTGTGAGCAGATACATTATCGTGGTGCCAGTGTTGCCAGATTTAGGCCTAAAATATCCCTCACAAGGTGATTTTAATTATTCGTGTGTGTACGAACATAATCTTTTTACGAGTCAGAAAGCGCCTGGAGAAATAAACTTAATAATTAAAATCAAGGGCCTACCTTGTGAGGGATATTTTAGGCCTAAATCTGGCAACACTGCGTGGTGCAAAAGCCACGCATTTCATACCTAAAACATTTAAAAAAATTTCATGGCATGAGCCAATCGATATGCCAACATCATCAGCGACTTCTCTGATTGTGATTTGGCGATCGTTCATTACCATTTTTTCAATTTTTTCAATTTTTTCACGTTTTTGATTTTAAAAATACTAAACTAAATAATCACAAAAGTAAAATCCCAAAAACTAATAGCAAATAAAAATCTTGAAGTAAATAAAAATGTCCATGTTGATTAATTGATAAGTGATTTTAAAATACTTTTAAAAATCACAAAATCCTAAATAAAAAGTAAATAAAAATCTCAAATTAAAAATTCACATGTTAATCAATTAATCAAGTGATTTTGAAAATACTTTCAAAAAATAGAATAAAAATAATGGAATCCTAAAGTAATTAAAAATCTTAAACAAAAAAAAGTTGTATTTAAAAATACTTTACTTAACAAAGTTTTTAAGTAAATAAAAATGCACAAGTTGATTAATTAAAATCACAAAATCTTAAAGTAAATAAAAATGCACAGCTTGATCAATATTTTTAAAAATTACAAAAGTAAAAAAAAATCCTACTGTAAAATCACAAAATCTTAAAGTAAATAAAAATGCACAGGTTCATAATTTAAATTATTGCGAAATCCCAAGAAAAACCATCAATTATGATAGGAAAATGCTTGTCATGATTTAATCTTTATATATTTCACACTTACCTGAAATCCTTAATAACTTTTATTAATTTATACCTAACTATAATATCACGTGGACACAACAAACATAATAGAAAAATAAATACAATACAAACACAACTCGATTGCAGCAATGTAATAAGGTTATGTTTTTGTCGAATTACCGCGTTGACCAGTTACGCGCAAAAAAATTTGAATTTAAATGCAATATAATAAATTATAATTTTTATATCACTGCCGATAAGCACTGTGTAAGAGATCATTGATCACGTCGTGCGCTCATACTGCGATCATCGCGTGGGCGCGCACGGCTATGCTACTTATATTCGTGTGAAATCGACCGCACGTGTGCGTTCTCACGCCGTGCGACCTACGTGCGATGCACGATTGCTATCTGGGTTTATTTTTGTCGAAAATATTTATTTAAAAAAAAACATTGTAATTTCCTATAATTTTTCTGTACGAAGAACCAAAACCAAAAATGTTGGCCTAACGGCAATATAAATTCTTACTCCTGAAAATTCTATGCATCAATCGGCAACGCTGCGTGACTGACTGTTTTTGCGCATTTTAATAACACAGAGACGTGGTTAATATTTTAAAGGTTTAACACGTATCATTGATTAAAATACATGGCTGCCATTTATACTTGCAAATAATACGGTGGACTGATTACCCGATGGGCTCGATTACCCAACTCTACCCTAATTACCTAGTCATAGGTAATGTGAAATAATTGCTATTTTTAGGAATGGCTTATATTATTTTTTAATAATTACTGAGAAAAGTAAGTTAATACTGAAAATTAGTTTATCTATTTGATTGCATAAAATTGGGTATATAATGACAAACAGTCCCTGCCTAAAAACAGGAATAATGAACTCACGTTTTTAGGCATCAGTGATTGGCCGATTTCAATATTCGTTGTGATTTGAACCAATCGGGTTGTAAATTGGGAGAAGGCGACTATAATAATATGTAAAATTGTTAAAAAGTGCTTAAGTTTATCGTTACAAAGTACTGATTGATTCTTTGATTTTGCGCCCCCAAAATGTTGCGCCTGCGTGCCTAAAAAAACTAAATTTGCGTAGCATGAACCTTAAACTAAAATAAAGGTACTTACTCTTGTTTATTTTCAATAAAATGATCGATCGTGCAAGAAGTACATGTTTAGACGGGTTTCAAGTGGTAACGGCTCTATTAAATCCCGAAAAGCGTTCTGGAAAAACTCCAAATAAAGTTGTCCATTCAATCGTGCCGGAAATACAATTGGTGCAATCAAAATATTGCCAATGATTCCTGCCCACATATTAATTGGTTGAAACTGATGTTGATAATGCGATACAATAGTGGCATGAGGATTTTCATCAGCCCATACATGTGTGTTATGTAAATTCGTGATACCTTTT